CTGTCCCATTATTTGCCTCCACTAGCGTAAAATTAAGTGTTACTTAACTAATTTAAGTAAAGCATTTTATATAGTAAATCAATTACTCACCTTCTGGAGTAGTTTCGGGTTCGGGGATGGCTGAAAGGGGCGGAGAAGGCATGACTTAACAGAACTAACACGTTTTGAATTATCATGAAACAGGAAACGCTAATTTTGCTTACTTGATTCGTAGTAGCAAAGATTTATCTTCACATTGCAATGATCAGTCGACATGGAAAGAGTAGGTGTAAAGCCCTCAATATGGTATGTCTTATCCACAACCTCCATCTGGATGGCATAGGAGTGGACAGTTCCCACAAGAAACTCTGGTGCATCCATGCATATGTACTCCTCAGTGGCACGCAATCCAGCTATCTCCTGACACGTTTCTCCGGCTCTGTCAAGTAAGAGTGATTGCATTTGTGAAATAAGTCGTCCTTCTGCTAAGAGACTGATTCCTCTCATTCCCTTCTTGACCTCCTTTACTAATGCCTAATACATGATTGACGCTAAGGATCAATTCGACCTTTATCACTTTCACATCTTCCAACCTCTTCCATTGGTAAGAATAATGTCTATGGATTTCATATTCTCTGATCAGCAGCTCACCTGTATAGATAGAATGGCCCGGTGTCATTGGGGAACCCCGTGATGGGAATGGATGCAGAAGGTGAATCTGCACGACAGCAGAACATATACGTGACACGATCAAATGTCAAACCGGTGTCACCTTTCTCCACCTTATCACGAAATATGCGCGGTGCGTTGTGCGCCGACGACTCGGCACCCATTGGTAGGTCAGAAATATCAATCGACGCAGGATCCACGTATTCTTCGGTTTCGTTGGGTTTGAGGAGACCCTCAAAGACAGAGAGACTTCCAGCGGTGAACCCTAGTGATACGATAAGTGACAGCAATTGGAGGATATGAGCCTTTCAATCAAAGGGGATCCTATAGAAGCACCAACTATCTGGCGTTCTACCCATCACGCTATCCAACACCAAGGACTGATGGTAAGCGAGATCAGGGATGCTCCTTACTAAAGGAGAGATCAGTTGACTTTCAGTCTTCAGCAACTTGCTGGACCTTCGTGGAGCACTTTAGATTCTATAATGAGTCTTACCGGCCGGACATCGCCTACCGACGAGAAGAACGCAGTAATGGCCTGGAGGTAGAGAGGTGGTGTGCTTCTTGTTCCAATGAGATGGTGAGGGATCCATTTCTCGGTGGCAATAACTCAACTTTACTGCTCGAGAATGTGCAATAAAGTCGCCTGCCAGATGAATGGGCTGTAGAAGCATAAAGAATGACATCTCAAATTACTAGTTTCGAGCATTTAGCGAAGCGAACCATCGTAAAGACCGCAATGACGGAGCGCGCTTACCTGTGAATAGTGGAAGCCGTTTCGCCCTTGAAGGTGGACGAAGGTGGTTGAGATGAAGTCTGGCGGACATCCAGTTACTGATTGTGGAATGGCGTAGTTATCAATTGGCCAGGCTGTTAAGGGGAAAAACAGAAGCCGTTCCTTATTCTCATCATCTAATGCCTTCCACAATCTGAAAAGCACAAACGTCAAACAGACAGGTGTTAAAAAAACTTACAGACACCAGTGTTTGGTTCCGCTGGTCTATTAGTCTGATATTCACAGAAGATGGCATGCAGCAGGCCATCCTGCAACCACATTCCTGTTCTGTTTGCGAACGCCTCCTTACTGTCATTAAAGCCCGTAGTGACATTCAGTAGGTGATGAATCGAGGGTCTCGCAATCAGCGTCTTATAGCGTTTCGGTCGCCACATCTTGACAAATCGCCGAATGAGAGAGTATTGCTGAAATTCGGGGCATCCCACATCCGCTTCGGGTTTTAAATCCCGATGAAGCTCCGTGGGACCGGCTAAGTCCTTGACCCTCTCCTCGTCGTGTGGACTTTTACGACCCAGAGTAACAATGGAGCGTACGTGCTCCGGCCATGTCGAGACCCTTTGAAATGTCGTTGGTGTGTCCTGGAGGTTAGAGGGCTGTTTGACACAGCAAACAATGTATTGTTGGTAGGGGAAGGCAGAGACCACCTCAAAATCTATACCAAAAGAAAAAGTGACATTTCTGGGATAAATAAGGTCGTGAGCGGATCGATGCATATGCAACTAGACAAATGACATATGTCGACAGTGCTTAAACTGCCCAACTCACCTTCGTTCGGGCATGTTGCAAAGGCTACAAGACAGTAGTTCAAATAGCCATTCTCCGTTCTTGTAGGCACCTCGGTTCCACGTACTTCGCTATAGCAAAGTTCCATTGCATCGTTGGATGAGAAGTCTTGCATCGGTGTTGGAATTAGCCACAGCCTTCGATGACGCATCATAAAGTTGCGAGCTCGAGAAACTAAAAAAAGGAGACAAAGCATCGCCCTTTGGTCTCCTATTATTTCAGCCGTCCATTAAAAAGCTCAAAAAGTTCAGGGTTAAACGGTGAAACGCAAGAAAGTAGTTACCAAAAATATCATAGATCCGTGGTCTTGGTACCCACCTGAGTTGAGAGCCCAGTTGTCACTGCACATGAGAACAATTTCAGTTTTGCCTCGAAGATTGCTGGGGAAAACGCGTCGAGGCCACACCACAATCGACTCTGGTTGCTCTTAAGGTCAAAAGTTAACGC